TACACACTGACCAACAGGCTGTGCACAGGTGTGTTCACACACACACACACACACACACACACACACACACACACACACCCCCCCACACACACACACACACACACACACACACGCACACACACACACACACACACCGAGGTTCTGTTATCAGGTAAAAACTGAAGATCCACAGAAATATGATGGATCCTCCACATTATTGGAAATATCAGCATTTATCATAAAATTGATCAGTTTATCATTTTTCTTATTTATATTTTGAGAGTTAAAACAAAATGTCACATAATAATATAGAAGATATTCGGTTATTTTTACTCAACAGTTCTGTTTTCAGCTGCTGATATGTGTAGTACCTAACCACTCCACCAGGTGGCGCATCACCTGACGTTGCTTGTGGTGTTTAGAGGAAGGAAGCATTGCATCATGGATCTGATTGTCACGACATTCTGGACTTGATGTTTATCTTACTGACCTCACGTTCAGCTTTGATTCTTTATTTTAGTTCTGGTGTACCACACAGACCAGGACTTGGCCCACTTTGGTTCTGGTTTCATGGTTGTTCTCATCTTGGTCATTTTGGGCCCTAAGAGTCGACCTGTTTGCAGATGATACTCAGGTTTTCATCCAACTTACTGCAAACATCCCAGGATGTTTCTCCTGCAGACATCTTGTCTGGTTTTACATGGAATGTGTGTTTGGTTGCATCAGCTCCTGGTTCTGACTGAGAAGGTTTTTATTCCACGGCCCAAGAGTCCTGGACGAATAAATGTCTGAAATGAAATGAAACTGGACAGATTCATCATCATCATGAAAACCTTCAGTTGGTTTCCACCAGTAAGAGTTTCGCTCTTACTGACCAGGAACTGATGGAACATCCAGACCACAAATAAATATTAGTTTAAAAAAATTAGTGAAATTAGCTCCTCTGTTAGCACACTAGCAGAAAGAAGTGCTCACTAAGCTAGCTCTGTCCTGCAGACGTGGATGAGTGTGATAGTGCCGGAGCGTGTGACGCAGAGCAGGTGTGTGTGAACAGCGTGGGCTCGTTCAGGTGCGACTGTCGCCCCGGATACCGGAGCTCCGGTCTCGGCAGGCGGTGCACAGGTGAGAGCAGCGCAGTGCGGCTGGTTTTTACCTGCTAAACGAAGTTTCTGATGAGGTTTCTGATGAGGTTTCTGATGAGGTTTCTGATGAGGTTTGTGTCTCCAGACGTTAACGAGTGTTTGGAGGGGGACTTCTGCTTCTCCAGAGGCGAGTGTGTGAACACACCTGGATCATACACCTGTGTGTGCTCACCTGGATTCACGCTGAGTGAGAACAGGACGGCCTGCCTCGGTGAGCCACTCAGAGCTCTGGTTTCCAGATGTCACTTAAACGTCTCTTTTCATTTGTTTTTTCAGTCGATTGAAGTTTATCAATCAAGGTGATGATGTCACCTGATAAAACAAACAAGCTCAGATTGAGCATAAATATCATCATTGGGGTTTTATGATAGACTCATTGATAATTGGTTGATGATTAATAGCTGCTATCAGAATTTGAACCAGTGAAGCCAAAAAGTTGAATTTTGTATCCTTGCAGTTTTGACTTGATTCTGCTGTTTTCAGCAAACTGGTTGATAAATTGGTTGATTATTTCAGTTACTGATTAATGGTTTCAGATTTTCATGTTTTTAAATTTCAATTCCCTCCAGATGTGGACGAGTGTGTGAGGCCAGGTGTGTGTTCGGACGGCCGCTGTGTGAACACCGACGGCTCCTTCCGGTGTCGGTGTGACTCGGGCTTCAGCGCCAACCCGGAGCAGACCGCCTGCCTCGGTGAGCCTGCGGCAGGACGCCGTCCGGGCGCCGCGCCGTCCGGGCGCCGCGCCGTCTGGGCGTCTGCGTCCTCACTCAGCCGTCCGTGTCTCTTTGTGTCCCCAGACGTGGACGAATGCGTGTCCAGCGGCGGCTCCGTTTGCCCGTCGCGGCGGTGTGAGAACACCATCGGCTCGTTCCGCTGCCTCGCCGCCTGCCAGGCGGGTCAGCAGGTCGCCGCCGACGGCTCGTGCGTCGGGTCGTCCGTGTCGGTTCCAGCCTCTGCGCCGCCGTCCTCGCGGCCCGCAGAACCATCGTCTGTTTCAGGTCGGGATGAAGACCATGATGATGATGAGGAGTTTGCTCTATATTTCCTCTTGGCTGCTTTGGTTTATTCATAAAATCTCTCTTCAACTTTTTGTCACATTTTGTTCATAATTCAGTTATTTTACTGGAGGTTCAATTTATTTAGTGTTCACATCTGTTAAAGCTCAGCGTTTTCTCTGCCTCTCCAGAGTCCAGGTCCCACCCTGAGTCCACACACTCCTCCTCCTCCTCCTCCTCCTCCTCCTCTTCCTCCTCCTCCTCTCTCCTCCTCCTCCTCCTCCTCCTCCTCCTCCTCCTCCTCTGGGTTCCAGGACGTTTCTGCGGTTCTGCAGCGCCTGCCTCCGGCGCGGCCCGGTGAACTGAGGGATTGCTACTACAACCTGGCGGCAGGCGGCTGCAGCCTGCTGGCGTCCAACACCAGCCAGCAGGAGTGCTGCTGCACCGAGGGGGAGGGCTGGGGGAGGGGCTGCCACGCCCACCCCTGCCCCGCCGCAGACACAGGTGGGACCTACAAGACGCACCTGGCTGCATTGCCCCAGTTGCGTTGCTGCGTTCTTACAGCTGCCGTTTGTGTTGCAGCTGACTTCCTGTCCCTGTGTCCCAGTGGGAGGGGCTACGTGACGGCGGGATCGGTCGCCTTCAGCTACTCAGGTACTGTGACCCGCCGTGTCTCACCCTCTGGTTGGCGTAGCCACGGCGGCCTCTCAGCCCCCTGTTGTGTGTCTCCAGACGTGGACGAGTGTAAGCGCTTCCACCCCGAGGTGTGTAAGAACGGCGTGTGTGTGAACAACATCCCGGGCTACAGGTGCTACTGCTCCAGCGGCTTCGTCTACAACTCCGCCCTGCTGGAGTGCATCGGTACAGACAGGCGGGGTCGGCGGGTCGGCGGCCGCGCCCGACCTCCGCCCGTTGACCCGTTTCCCGTCCGCAGATTACGACGAGTGTGAGGAGGAGAGCTGCGTGGACGGCGTGTGTGTGAACATGGAGGGGTCGTTCTACTGCAGCTGCCCGCCGCCGCTGGTGCTGGACGACACGCAGAGGGCCTGCGTCAACGCCTCGCACCTCACCATGGGTACGCCTTCCTCCCTCATCCTCATCTTCATCAAATCAGTCCGTATCGGTGATCAGCGATGAGTTTCGTCCAACATGCGGCGCTCAGGTTGCAGCGGAGGGAGAATAAAACTCCAGTTTTCAGGCCTCAGGTCCTGATGGAGCAGAGAAGCTGAATCTCCTGCTGCTGCTTGGATTTATTTCTGTTTAAATCCGTAACGTTTTCCATGTTCACCTTTTATTTCTCCCAGCAACTGTTTCTGTTTAAACCCAAACTGTTCATCATGTTTGTGTTGCGTCCAGATGAGAACCTGTCCGTCTGCTGGCAGCACGTCAGCGCCGACCTGCTGTGCCAGAGTCCTCTGCTGGGGGCAGGTCACCTTCGTCGACTGCTGCTGCTTCTACGGCGAGGGCTGGGGGATGGGCTGCGCCCTCTGCCCCGCCACCGACTCAGGTAAGCATCGCGCTGCGGGGCGGCCCGCCTGCTGCGGGGCGGCCCGCCTGCTGCGGGGCGGCCCGCCTGCTGCGGGGCGGCCCGCCTGCTGCGGGGCGGCCCGCCTGCTGCGGGGCGGCCCGCCTGCTGCGGGGCGGCCCGCCTGCTGCGGGGCGGCCCGCCTGCTGCGGGGCGGCCCGCCTGCTGCGGGGCGGCCCGCCTGCTGCGGGGCGGCCCGCCTGCTGCGGGGCGGCCCGCCTGCTGCGGGGCGGCCCGCCTGCTGCGGGGCGGCCCGCCTGCTGCGGGGCGGCCCGCCTGCTGCGGGGCGGTGCTCACAGCCGTCTGTCTGTCTGCAGAGGACTACGCCTCTCTGTGCAGCTCGTACTCTGCAGCGGCGTTCCCGGGAAGCTTCCCAGACTCCGCCGGACCAGAAACCGGGCCGGGGCGAGGAGGTAAGATGAGATGATGACCTCATCAGGCTGTGCAGCATCTGCCTCCAGCTGATTGGTTTTTCCTCCAGACAGCAGTAGCAAACCAGGGCGGATTGGAGGAGATCGATCTGCTCAGGTCTCAACATGGAGACAGTTTTAATTAATATAAAGAACTTTTGTTTTCAAAGTTGAACTGAAGCTTTTTTCATAAGGAAGTTTTGCGGTTCTTGATGGTCTCCTGGTTTTCCAGCTGCCCCTTTCAGTCCGGAGTTCTTTCCTGCAGTGCCGCTTCCCGGCAGAGATTTCAGTCCAAACTATGACGACTACTCGCCAGCAGGGGGCAGTAGGTCCGGCTTCAGGGCCAGGCCGCCCATTTCCTTCGGCCCGCCGGACGACACCTACGGCGGCTCCGAGTTCAGGTGAGGCCAGCGGCGCCGGCCCCCGACGTCCGGCTGCTCCTCGTGTTTTCTGACGCTCCGATGTTCCCATCAGCCCCGGTTTCTACCCAGAGGGAGACTATGGCTCCCCGGACGGCTCCGTGCCCAGGACGCCCACCTTCCGGCTCCCTCCGGACCCCCGGTCCGACATCGCCTTCGCCGCGCGGCCGCTACCTCCGTCCAGATCCGACCCACCGCCGCTCAGCCTGGCGCCACGGCCCGGACCGCCGTACGATGACCGGGAGGAGGGCGGAGACTTCAGGGGGCGGAGGCCGGGGGCGGGGCTTCCTCCGTTCACTGACAGAGAGGGAGGTGGAGGCGGCGGGCCACGCAGGGTGTATGAGAGTAAGTCTGAGGTGGAAAAACTCCTGAAAACATGACAACTGATCTGGAAACGCAGCCTGGAGGTCAGGTGTGAATGCGTTGTGTCGTTCTTCCAGGACGCTACGAGACGCACGCCAGCCTGAGTGCCGCCGAGGATTGTGGGATTCTGCACGGCTGTGAGAACGGCCAGTGCATCCGCGTTGCTGAGGGATACACCTGCGACTGCTACATGGGCTTCGAGCTGGACCTGACCTCCATGAGCTGCATCGGTACGTAGCGCCGCCCCTCCCTGTCCTGCCCTGCCACTCCCCTAACTGCCCCTCCCCTCCCTGCCCTGTCCTGCCCCTCCCTGCCCCTCGATGCCCCTCGCTGCCCCGCGCCGGCCGTCTGTAACTTCCTGTCCGTTTTCCAGACATTAACGAGTGCGAAGATGTTGCCGCGCTGCCGTTCCCATGCGTCAACGCTCGCTGCATCAACACAGAAGGCTCTTTTCGATGCGTCTGCAGGAGAGGATACGTCATGTCGCGCAGACGCAACCACTGCATCGCTGCTTAGACCCGGTGGGTCCTGCAACCCGGCCGATCTGCCAGCGGCTCACTGGACTGCCATTCTGTTGTGGAAAATGTATGAATTACATGAGATAACCTGCTAAAAGCAGGAGTTTTTATAAAGTTTACATTTAAATCATCTGTCAATTCCTTTACAGAATGGAACAAATTTAATATTGTTAGCCAGAGAAGTTGACACAAGAAACAAACAATTATCACAATAATAGAATTCAGAGCTTCAGATGTTTCATAAAAACTCTAAGCTTAAAAAAGATTCATTCAGATGTTAAAGTTTAAACAAAATATCTTCTAGTTTTTGATTAAATATTTTAATGTTGGTAATGTTGCTAATATTTAATTGTTTCTAAGGTTTTTGTTTTTGTGTTTCAATACACCAAAGTCATTCAAGGGTAAAAAATGAGTACCTGAAAACATTTTGTTAGTTTCTAGCAGTTAGCTTACGAGCTAACAGAGAAAACCAGGAAGTATTAACATTAATGAGTTCCTTAGGAAATCTTAAGGTCTAAAATTAAAGCTACAGTAGCTGAAATACTTAGGAGAAACATTTAGAGATCAACCACAAACTATTGAAATGAGCCGTTTGTTTGTTTATTAGCTCGTTGGCTGAAGTTAGCGCAGATGCTAATAAGCTCAAACATGTTACTGTAAAACCTTTGAAATTGATTAAAAGTGTCATTGTGAATATAATTAGTTTTTAGCACCAGCGCTAATCAGTTAGCAAGTTATTTAATCTAAAAAATCAAAAATCCTAATATGTTCACTCCTTTATTATTCCACTAAGACTATTTTTCTCTGAAACGTTTTTAGTTACCTGCTCAGTGGAAATACATTTTCAGGCTAAAAGCAGGAAGTTGTGACTGAACTCTGTCACCATGGTGACGTTTCAAAGAGGAAAACTTAAAAATCAAATCTGCTCATTTTATTTTAATAAGCTCATTTAAGTTGTTGAATTGTAAATAGTTCTGGCTGTTATTACTGTTTAGCATGTTAGCTAATTTGTTTTAGCAATGCTCTTGGTTTCCATAGTTACTAGTCCAAACATAACCATTTTATTGTATATATTCTTATTTCAACTTCATTTCATTTTAAATGATTTTTTTCAACTAACATTTTTCATTAAATTTGTACAGATCTAAATATGAACTGATATTCTACCAAATATTCAACATTTTCAGTGGAAAACAGTGTGAGTGATGTAGTTCCATTTCTATGTTCAGTTGGTTTTATGTTGATGTGCCTGCAGTATTTGTTCCACAGCAGAAGTTTGAAATGAAAATGAAATGTGTGTATAAAACTTTTCAGTATGTGATATTATACTAGGTCAAATGTCATAAGCTTTATTTTTTCTCTTCAGCACATGAAGGTTTAAGTGAAACATGCACTGTCTGCCAAAGACCAGCTTCCTCACTGAAAACATATGTTTGGTTTATAAATGGTTTTATTTTAAAGTTTGATCAAATTTTTTGTATTATTGTTTCTATGATGAGGACTGCAAATACATTTGACCACAATAACTCTTAGGTGTGTTGTTGTGGTTTTTGGTTGTTTTCTTGACGTGTTTAGGAATAAATCAAACTTTCAATATTTTAAAGTGACTATAAATAAATTACTGAAGGTCTGAGATGTTTGCATCAACCTCTGTTAAAACGTAATAAAAGATAGTAGCTACCATGAGGCTAATCAGTTTTTATTATATTTGATAGTTTTATTATATTTGATCTTCAGCAGCAGGACAGATTAAAAATAGTTGAAGGTTGTATAAAGACAAGAACCTCTTGGAGGAGAGAGTTGCAAGAATGTCAGCATTGATTTGTCATGATGCATTATTTTTCTCTCCAGTTAAAAACCATTTTTATAAACCTGCAGCCATAAGAACAGATGAAACTTGCTACGATAGCGTTAGCCTGTTAGCTGCAGCCTAGTTGTTGAGTCACTGCAGGTGATTCTCTCGTGCAGCCTGGTTCTAATCTTCCACCTGGATCCATAACCTTAATGCTCACTCTGTTTATGCAGATCTATGTCTCTAAACCACTTTGAATTATAGGCCAATCCCGCGCTCACACCGGCCAGTTTTAAGAGGATTAGCGAGGTCCAGGTGCTGCACGGCCGAACCAATGAGCCAGCGGAATATCAGCTTTCATTTCCCAGAACAAGCAGCGCCGCGTAAATCTCAGCAACGTCCCATCCAGAGCCACTGCTTGGATGAAAACAGACTGTCACTGGACTCAACCAGCAGCGACACTGTCAGAACGGGCGGTTTGGGTGAACTGGTTCTTAGAAACCCAGAGGCTTTTAATGGACCGAACAAACTCAAACCAGTTTGAAGCCAGGTTTCAAACTGGTCCATCAGTAATATCAGCTTCAAACTGAAACTTCTTGAGCTGGTTTTTAAGCATCATGTTATCTTGGATTTCTCAAGCTATCAGAATAAGTTTTAGCTGAAATGACCAGACCTTCCATACATCAATTAAATCAATAAATCAGTTGACTTTATTTTTTTATAACTGTACTTCCTACGTTCACCCAGCAGGTCTTGATGCTCAACTGTATTTTTCTGCCTGGTTGTTCATGTTGCTAATGAAATGCGACTCCATTCGTTCCTCTGTGTGAATGATTTACGCCTCCAAAGCGACCCGCATGCACCGAAGACGTAGCCGTCACCCAGGATGAAGGTTAGGAAGGGAGGCCCAGACTTCCCTCTCCCAGCCGCTTGTTCCTGCTCTTCCAGGGAACCGCTCGGCGTTCCCAGGCCGGCCGAGAGACATCGTCCCTCCAAGAAGCAGCGGCTCTACTCCCAGACACCCTTCGGAGAAAACTGGGTTTTCACCAAACGTTATTTACATTCTGGTTCCGAACTGAGTGCAGCTGGAACCGGGTCCGGGCTGCGAAATGTTTGGACCAGGGCAGAGAAATGTTCCAGAGTGGACCTTAAGCCCTGCAGCGATGTGGGTCACAGGGCTGACTCAGAGCCACTCTGACCCAGATCTGACTGATGAAGATGAGGATGAGCGGGTCGGGTGAGCCGGGTCTCAGAGTCCAGGATATGTTTGCTCAGGTTAGCCTGCTGCTCACTGATTGGCTGCTGAGACAATCAGTCCTTTCCAGTCCAAACCTGCAGGTTCTGATGGTTCAGTTAAAGATCAAACATGGAGGAAAAACTGGTTGTGTTTCTGAGCAGCGATGCTGTTAAAGCCGGACGAATAAGAAAACGATGATTTCACCAAATGGAGACTTGGGCTACAATGAGTTCATTCATTCATTCATTCATTCATTCATTCATTCATTCATTCATTTAGACACCAAACCTTTTATTCCCTGGTTTTCTGTTTACTGCTGGTTTGGTTGATTAGATTTATAGTTTCAGGATTCTGGATGTGTGTTTGCTCGTCATTGGTGATTTTGTCGCCGTCTTCAGATGAAAAAGAATCAAATCAACATCAGAAATGATTGATATTAATTCAAATGAACGGCTGAATGACTAATTAATGACACTATGAAGAGCTGCCACTCGCATCTGTTGATATTCTCTGATAGTTTTGCTTGCGGTTCTGTACGTATTCAGAGGAACTTTGACCCGCGGGTCGGGCGGCTCCGTGTCCGGGTCGGACGGACGGACAGACAGGCGGTCCAGTTATGCAGCTCTTATGAAACAGCAGATGTAGGTGAGGCTGATCCCAGAGCGTCTGACTGTAAGATTAAAACGACTGTTTGTTTCTCACCTGCTGCAGGAACTGCAGCCTCAGCAGCTGCAGCTCAAAGCAGAGAACCTGGAGCTCCTGGTTTCACTGGTTTCACTGGTTTCACTGGGAACTCCGGCAGTTCTTGAAGGTCTGAGATTGGACCTGCCGCCACAGTTTACCAGTTTTTACTTTCAAGGTCAAAGTTGATGAACTACTGGACAGAAAAATGACAGAAATTTAGAGTTTAGACCCTAAAAGTCCAAATGTGGTTTTTCTAACAAACATCAACACAATCTAACAAACTCCTAAAATCACCTGAAGTCAAAGGTCAAGCTGGAGTCCAAAAAGACGTAGTTCTGATCAAGTCCAGATATTGAACTCTGACATTTTAGCTACGGATTTGTTTTCCTGGACACTGTTATGGCGACAAGACGTGACCTCATCGATGGCATTAGCAACAATCCTGAGTTAGCAGCAATGCTAACATTAGCTGCATCATCAACCGAACTGAACGTAAATTAATCAAATTAAAAACATCAACAAAACTGGAGCAAACAAACCGAGAGCAGCAGAAAAACACTGAGCTAAAATCCAGCAGAACCAAACAAACAATGAAACAAAAAAAGAAGAAAAATGTAGAGATTTTGTGCAAAGAGCAGCTGATCATATTGATCACATTGATCACGTTGATCATATTGATCACATTGATCATGTTGATCATGTTGATCATATTGATCATATTGATCATATTGATCATATTGATCATGTTGATCATATTGATCACGTTGATCACGTTGATCATGTTGATCATATTGATCACGTTGATCACGTTGATCATGTTGATCATATTGATCATATTGATCATGTTGATCATATTGATCACATTGATCATGTTGATCATATTGATCATGTTGATCATGTTGATCATATTGATCATATTGATCATATTGATCATATTGATCATGTTGATCATATTGATCATATTGATCACATTGATCATGTTGATCATATTGATCATATTGATCATATTGATCATATTGATCATGTTGATCACATAGATCATATTGATCATATTGATCATGTTGATCACATTGATCATATTGATCATGTTGATCATTTGATCACATTGATCATATTGATCGTGTTGATCATGTTGATCATATTGATCATGTTGATCATATTGATCATGTTGATCATATTGATCACGTTGATCACATTGATCATGTTGATCATATTGATCACATTGATCACGTTGATCATATTGATCATATTGATCATGTTGATCATGTTGATCATATTGATCATATTGATCATATTGATCATATTGATCATGTTGATCATATTGATCACATTGATCATGTTGATCATATTGATCATGTTGATCACATTGATCATGTTGATCATATTGATCATATTGATCATATTGATGATGTTGATCATGTTGATCATGTTGATCACATTGATCATGTTGATCATATTGATCATGTTGATCATGTTGATCATATTGATCATATGGATCATATTGATCATATTGATCATATTGATCATATTGATCATATTGATCATGTTGATCATATTGATCATGTTGATCACATTGATCATGTTGATCATATTGATCATGTTGATCATATTGATCATATTGATCACATTGATGATGTTGATCATGTTGATCATATTGATCATATTGATCACATTGATCATGTTGATCATATTGATCATATTGATCACATTGATCATGTTGATCATATTGATCATATTGATCACATTGATCATGTTGATCATATTGATCATGTTGATCAGATATCGTCAGTTTTTCGGTTTTAAATATAAATGATAACATCTTACTGTAAAATGAAACCTTGTTTTCTGAATAATTATTGTGTATTAATATTCAAACTGTTTGTGGAGTGTTTACTAAAATGATGTAAATCTTTTTTATTGTTTATTGTCTGAATTTTCCTCCGGCTCATTTTTCCTTCAGTGATTAATGTCTGGATGTTATGCAGAGGATGAACTCTGACCTCTGCGGCCTACATCTGTCACTGTCCCAATCGGAGGAGATGAACAAGAAGTCTGCTGGGATCTGATTGGCTGAGGCGGCAGGCCCCGCCCCCTGCCGCCTCCGGATAAAAGGGTCGGGCCCTGGGCGGCTCCACATGGGGCCGCAGACCCGACCGGGTCAGGATGGAGCTGAAGGACTTTGGACGCTTCGTCGGTTCACCGTGGTGAGTTCAATGAACTTCTGGAAACTGGAGATCTGCAGCTTTAACGGCTTAAACAACCCAGAGACAAGAAAAGTGAAAATTTACTGAACTTTTCATGACAGAAACACATGTTGACCGTTACCATGACGACGACTTTGAGGCCTGCAGGCAGCCATTAAATATAAAAATGGACGAAAATATTTCAGAGCGATAAAAGATTTAAAACGTCTTGATATTAAGACGTCTGGACAGAAACAATCATATGATTGTAAAACTATAAAAATGTTTGCAACTTATTGCAAAAACATCAAAACTTAATTATTTATTTATTTATTTATTTATTTCAGCTCAAACGTTTGAAATATAAACATTAATGTTTGTAAATATTAATAAACTGCAAAGAGAGGTTCATAAGTTTTACTTTTACATTTGTTGTCGTTTAAAAATAACTGTGTGTATAAATGTATTTTAAGAATCGTCCCTGATGGGTCCCTCTGATGGGTCCCTCTGCTGGGTCCCTGATGGGTCCCTCGCCCTCCTGCAGCATCTGAACATTTATTGAATCATTTTTCTCTTTTCTTTACATCAAATACATATAAAGTTTTTATTTTCTCCGTCCTCTCAGCCCCCTTCGCTCCTCCTCTTCCTCCCAGTCCCCCCCCCTCTGTCCCTCTTCGCCGCTCTTCCTCTTCTCCAGCCCAGCCTCCTCTTCCTCCTCTTCCTCCTCTGGGGACCAGACTCCTGACTCTCCAGCAGGGTGCAGTTCCAGTGGCAGCCCTGCAGGC